CTGTTGTACCCATATTTTCCGATATTAAGACACTTCCTAACTGAACTTAAATGGAAGAAAACAAAGTTTCATTTTGTCGGGTATGATGGATGATTTCATTGAAATGCTAAAGGCCAATGGAACGATGCTGGTAATTGTATTTAGTCAATCACAACAATTAAATTTCAATTCAGTTTATTTATATAGCGCCAAATTCACAACACAAGTCATCTCAAGGCACTTTACAGTTCAACCAGATCATACAGTCAAATTGATTCAAAGTCAAATTGATTCAAAAGTCATGAGTACTGATAATTATTTTAGAAAAGAGTATAGTCTTACTTTCATTCATACAGGAGCGATACAGGATCTTAGCTTTGGTCACAGCCTCCAGTTCTTTAGCATGGGAAGGAGCCTCTAACAACTCTGTAGGAGAAAAACGAGAGTCAGAAAAAAGAGCACCATCACTTTAGAGACAACTGTTTTAAATACATCAGGGTTTCTTTTCATTCCTCCAATTCGCTATCCCTTATTAATTAAAACAGATATATCTGTGTTTCTCTGGATTGTGTGTCAGTAAGGAATCTTTACAAATTCTGTTTTTATAATTTCTCTCATTTTGATCTCTTATCAGATTTCATATTCAATATTCTACAGTCTGATTGATTCAGCATAGAGAAAATCAAAACTGATTGGGCCATTCAGGAAGCCAGCAGCCCCTATTGAATAGCTGATAAAAAAAGAAAACTTAAAATGTGCAGTTATGGTTTATCTGATTGCTTTTCAATGGAACAATCAAGTCATCAGAAAAATAAAGGGAATATGGAAAATGTCACTAAGATCCAAAGGTGGAAAAGAAAGACTTAGCAGTCGCTTCAGATGTTATCATCACATTAAATTGCTGGGTTTTGCAGTTTTTAGTCTCATAGAATGGCTACAGATTGTGCCTTCTACATGCTGGAAGTGACAGCAGGCTGTTATCACGGATTGAATCTTAACCCTAAGGGAATTCCTTTTTTGCCTGCATAATGAATTTATCTATTTATCTGTAAACTGAAAGGAATTTCAGTAGTTCTTAATGTATTGTAAAAAAAAAAAAAGAAAGAAATTGATCCAGATCTCGCTGATATATATATATATAAATAAATAAAATCATATCCTGTTAATCCAACTGTTCACAATCCTTAATGACCTAAACGTGTCGAATGTATTGAAAGTAAAGGTTTAAAACACAGTTAATTACAAAGGGTAGGTGCTTCGTAAGTAAAGTAGCTAAAAACTAAAAGTAGGTGCATTTGTAAATTAAACTTATGGTTTTAGAGACGACCGATGTGGCTGCTGTCACCTATAAGCTGCATGTTGTCAGCATTCAATGGGACCAATAACCAATAATAATGGCCATTTAATGCTTGATCACATCCAAATGGGTGAATTTAGGTTTTGGGTGTCAAAACAAATGTGAATCACAGGATGGATATGTGGAAAGGCAGCTTCCGCACACAGTTAGGTAAGTTGTGACCCTTTTTCTGTTCAAACAGTCCTGTGAACTTTGGTATAATCCAAAACATGATATTGAATATTATAAATCCAATGACACTTAAAATACAATTTGGACCCAGAAAACTCCAACTGGGTCATCATTTGGTCTCTCAGCAGAGTAACAATCCAAGACATGTTTAAACATCAACACAGAAATGGATCACAAGATCTTCATGGATGAACAGATATATTCCAGATTATATGACGTCTGTAGGCCTTTTTACTTAACACCCAGATCACTTCTAAACAATATACTGAAATAACTTTCTTCCCCAGATAATCTGACCCAGGCTCTTTCATATATTTAGATGCATCCTTAAGGAAGATTACCACCTTTGAGTTTTATGTCTACATGCTGCCTCAGCCACGGGTAGATGCCATGTGAAGACGAATCTTCAGGAATCGGATTCTCCTTCAGCCAACCGCCACAAGAAAACGTGTAGAAGTCTTCGCAGGGGTTGACAGTTCGGTCTAGTTTACTCAATATGGACCCCGCTAAAGAAACAAATAAAGATATCCTGACCCAAACAGCTTAACACACAAAAAAACGAATGCACTGAAATGACTGCTTGGATATTTTCCTCACCTGCTTCAATACATTCTGGCGAAAGGCAAAACTCCGCTTTACTGGATCTCTGGGACACTGATGGAGAGAAAAACATTTTAGTGAGGAATAAAACTTTATTTTGAGATAAAATGAGGGAAGACATTTTAATTAGGCTTAATATATAAAACAGAAAAAGCCTGAAGAACTTTTTCCAACTGTAATTCCTTGTCCATTTACATGAAGTTTCTGTGTATTATTATTATTCAATAAGACTTTATATTTTTAAAGAAGTACTAGAAATCAGAGTGTCAAACTCTGACCACAGCTGAGTGGATACATCTGGAGAGCTCCCACACAGAGTAAACAGTTACACGTGTTTGGACCAAGCAAATGTACACTGTCCTGTGTGAGTTTGGGTTGTTTCTTCTAAACAGAAGCAAATTCCTACAAATTAACTAACAAATCATCATAGTTAGTTCTCTCACTTGTTCTTATGCAACTCAAAACCCATCTGTTTAAGATTGCTTATTCTCTTTAAATATCAATTTCACCGTCACAGCCTCTGTATTTTTAAAATGTTTTTATTTTTTCTGACACTGTTTTTATGCTTTTGTACAGTGACCTTGAGTGTCCAGAAAGGCGCCTTTTTAAATAAAATGTATTATTATTATTATTATTATTATTATTATTATTAGCTTTTTAGTCAAAGTTGTTGTTCAGGCTTTGACTGGGCCGTTCAAGCATTTTGATCCTTTTTATTTTCAGTCTTTTTCTTACAGATTAACTGCTCTATTAGGGAATATTGTCTTGTTGATAAAAAAAACGTGAATTCAACTTTAGGTGTTGAATCCTTTTTACTGTCCCTGATTGGAAACATCGCAAACAGGACTCTTTGTTTTGTTTTTTCGTTTGCTCTTTTTCTTAAAACTGAGTAAGCTGACATTGGGACAAACTTTCTAGAACACCCTTTTGAAGTGAAGAATTAAAACTGTCCAATATTTTTTTACTTGGGAATATTGTTTAGTCTCTGCAGAATAATGGACTCCACATTGTTTGGAAATCAATCTCCTCTAAAACCATTCCGTTTCCTGAAGTCATTGCTGGTTCATTTCCTTTTTGGCATTGTTTTAAAACACATCTTTATGCTCCAGACCAGCAAACTACCAAATGTCATTTTTTGGTGCAAATTACTAGCAATCCATGAAGCAAGGGGAGTTAATTGGCAGCACTTTGAGTGGGAAAATGTGTAGTTTTTTCTTTATGGATGCATGGAAATCCATAGTAAATGTTTTTCCCACGACTTCTACTACTACTCAGCTCTGCTGTAGGGTATGATTACTTAACATATATTTGTAATACGGGTAAGCAGAACCCTAAAAAAAGACCAAGTAAACCACACTTGATTTATTTTCCTGGCAGAATGACCACAGGTTTACAGAGTCCACTTCCGTCTCTTGAACTCTCCTAGAAAGTTTGACTTTCTAAAGTCTTGTGTGATGGGGTTCCGTAGTAAAGAAAGTAAAGAACAACAATAAATGTAGATTCAGTGAGGCAGCAAACTGTATTTTGAAACCAAATCCAAATTGTAAACAGATAAATGGAGCGGGACTGAGCTGCGCCGAGATGTCTGACCTCAGAGGTTCACCTCTCTTGTTGCTGGACAGGAGGCTCTTTCCAGAATCACTCCATGCTGCGGTTACCTCGTATACAAGCACATGCAATCATAATTTTTTTTGTGCTGTGGGCAATAAAACAGGCCACAAAAAGCAACATCAATAGAGCTAAACACACATCAAAGAATCAAACTCTTTCCTAATTAACAAACTGTTAAAAAAAAGAATCCGAATCTTTTCCTTGGAAACTAAAGGAGTGTTTCCAGTATAGATGGAGCTTGGATCAGCATGCATGGGCACATAAGATAAATGCACTTTAGTGTGGCCACAAGAATGTGGTTTCCCTCAATAACAAAAAGACACAATACCCACCCCACCCAACACCAGCGCATGAGCCCCTGCAGCCCTAACCATCCTTAGAACCACATAACAGTGGAACCACTAATGCTGTGTCCATGCTCCCCAAATTCCACATATTGGGAAATATAATTGCTTCCAGTGGAAGAGGACAGCTCATTAGCAATGCTCCACATCGGCACTTGAAATAGCCTGCTGAACCTCCTAAACAAACATTTCATTTTTAAAATACATTGATCGCCCTTTGTAAGTTAACAGATGAAAACGCAATACAGAGTTTAATCAACTGATAAACAAACATTATTCTGTGCTTGAACTTTAATCTCTTGGAGAGATTTTATCATGTCTAGTTTAGGGAAACACACAGGACTAATTCTAAACAAACCCACTATACCCACTAAAATATAGCATATTTTGTTGAAGTTGTAAGTAAAAAAGTAGACTTTGCAGCTTTTGCAGGATTGATTTATTGTCTGACATTATGCTGTTCTCACCAGACTCTGACTTTTGCAGTGCAGTGCAGTATGTCTGCAGGTTAGCTGACTTGCTCTGATGAATTGGTCATAACTGCCAACAAAGCCATAATCAACAAGTTACAGTAGGAGGTTGGTCATTAATCACTGAGAAAGTTGGATATTCAAATGGTAATAAATCCTGGTAGGTTTAGGGCAATTAAAGACCATTTAGAGAAACCACAAAATCACTGAAACAATATCATTTAAATAGATGAGATAAAAGCAGACATCCAGAACCATAATACACAGTGTCATGCTTTGGTTTGCACTTGTTTTTCAGGTAAAGGATCTTGTAGCCACAGTCAATCAAAACATCACTGATTCAGAAGAAAGGCAATCTGTCTGACAGATTCAGTTTAGTCATTTTTAGCAATTTTAGGGTTTTGCAACGGCCAGATCAAAGTGCAGAATACAAGCAAGGGTTGCCTTTTTTTATAGAAATGATGGCAGCAGAACAGATTAAAGGCATTGGCTGCATCTGTGTTTCTAAACACCGAAATTAAAATGCGATCTGGAAGTGGAAAGAGTACTCATTTCACCATTAACCAGCCAAAAGATGACAAAGATTTAAAAGGATAACAAAAAAAAGGCTGCCCAAGAACCAAGGAGGACTCCCGGAGAGAGATTTTAAAATAGCTGGTACCGATCTTCGACAAAAACAACAGGTGATGCACTCAGCTGCTACATGCAATCCCAAAGTAGCAAAGCTTCGCTGCTGAAGGAAAAATCCTGTTAGGGCTTGTTTATAATCTTGCTGCAGAAGGTTTGGACTAGCCAATGAAATACTGGGAGAAGAGAGTCTGAGATCAGACCAAAGATGAACCTGTCAATGCAAAGCGTTAGGGTTCTACACTTCACCCTTAATACACCATACCACTGGTGAAGTTTGCAGGAGAAACCATCAGGCTGTTTTACGCAATGGGGTTCTGGCAACTTCCATCACTGAAGAAGGTAATAAATGCAAAAAATGAAGGGTGATTCATTTTTTCATAGGAGCTAGACAAGGAACAAGATTAGCTTTCAAAGCAAGACAACAATCTTAGAGCAAACATATGCTGTATGACTTTTTGGGCCAATTTTTCAGTCCTCCAATGAGTTTCAGCTTTATCATGCCTCGTGCATTGCGTTTTATAGGGGGATGAACAAGAGGCAGTCAGCCACTGTGGATCACCTCCTGATTAGGATTGTATGATTGGATGAAAATCAAACATCTTTAAAATTCAGTCAGTTTTGTGGAGAGATCATAAGGATATCCTACTGTTAAAGCAGAGCTAAGAGCATCTAGGAGCCAATTTACCTCGACCTCAGGCACTGAGCATGTGCAAACGGGAAGTCTTCTTCTCTGACTTTGCTTCTGCCTAGTAGAGCCCAACAATCGCTATTCTGTATGGGCTAAATCCAATGTTGTTGTTTTTTTTTTTTTGGTCATACAGTGTGAGCAGTCAGATCCCATCAGACCAGCGTAAGAACAATATCGTCAGCTGGGAACCTTTAAACTCTGGTTTCATTGCACAGGTTTAGCTTTGGCTTAGTACATTGATTGAAAATATTGTACAGTGTAGAGTGTGTCAGCCCTTAAACATACCACAAAAAAGAATGCATTGGTTTAAAAAATGTGGCAAAGCTATTAAATTAGACCATACAATCACCTTGTATCAAATATGCTTCTGTAGAAAAGTAGAAGGACCCCAAACATTTTCATAATCATCAGACAATTGGTGTGAAAGAATGGGTCAAAGACATATTTTTGGACTTGGAAGTGTATTTGTGAATTAAATTCATTTGATTTCTTTGTATGTGTGGGCTTAAGTTTGTCTTGTCTTGAGATTTTACCCAATAGAGCGGGGGGAAAAATTCCTGGTTTTCAACTATCTTGTTTTGTTCCATGCATCTGTTTTAATTTCTGACACCCCTCAATAACATCGGGTACAATCAGTTCCATTAAGAAGAGACCTGATTTGTAAAAGCACCAACTGTCAGTTATTCTCCGTAAGTAGTGTGAATAATTCCGAGGTTCCATAGAGAACCTTAGAGAGATAAAAGCAAAAGACCAAAGAACCCTGCCTAAAGATCAGGAAGGAAGCCGTGGAGAAGTTTAAAGCATGATTGAGGTTTTTAAAAAAATACCCAGAGCTGTATGATACAACTTAAAATCTAGTAAGACATGGCTGTCTACGTAAAGTGACAAGCTTGGTGAAAACAGCATTTTTTACTGAAGAAGCCTAGAGGTAACTTGGAAGGAACTGCAAAGATCTAAATCTCAGGTGAGATAATTTCTTCATAAAACAACTATAACAAACCTATTCTTTATGGATATGATTCACCTTCCTTCATGACAATTATTTTAACATACTGCCAGAGCTACAATGGGACGATTTGTCTCAAAGCATGTCCATGTTTGGCTGGCCTAGTCAAAGTTTCGATTTAAAACTGATCAACTTGTTTTAGTAGCATATCCAAAGATTTTGTGAATGAGGTAGTAGTTCATTTTTACTCTTTTTATAATGTAAACACTGTTACGGCTGATACAGAACATGCTTTGCAATCTTATCTTGATGGTTTTAATTTCCTCTACTTCACTGTGTTTCCTCTTAACTTTTCTTGAACCTACCCTTGGGACTCCAGATGCTTGAATCTCATTGGGTAAATTAAAAGAGGTGATAAGCTACTCCCATAAATGGCTCCTTTTTTCTCTTTTTTTGTGGCTTTGGGTTATTTTAATATAAATTGTTCCTGTTTACATTTAAACACAACAGAAGTGAAGCACTTTCCTTTGACTCATGTGGTTTTAATAGAAACTACAGACATGTGAAACCTTAAGTGACCCAAAAATAGTTTGCCACATGTTACTCAATAGCCCTCCAGGACACCTACTTGTATGTTATCATACTCTGCGTGTGCTTTTTGAGGACAGGGACCATTCTGTACCATACGTTAGATTTCCTGCAAATTATAATGTAGGATAAAGGGTAGAGGTTGTGTGTGTGTGTGTGTGTGTGTGTATGTGTGTGTGTGAACTTACCCAGTATGAGACCAAGCAGAAGAGCGGCGCAGAGGCACACACACATGGCCAGAGCGATCTTGTAGAGACGACCGACACCCCTCTCAGTTTTAACCCCCCCACCTCCTAAATGCTCCAGCTCCATCGTTTACTATTTCACCTAAAAAAATAACTAAAATGTTTAAAAGTAAAAAACACAGGACACACACCTAAAAGCAAAAAAAAAATAAAGTGGAATAAATAAATAAATGCTTAAAATGAATCTAAAATAATTTAAAATTAAACTATTTAAAAGATTATTTTTTTCCACATGTTGAACAGCTTCTGTCTTTCTCCAATCTGTCCAAAATGGGTGCAGCTGCCCAAACTTCACCCCGGCTCCTCTAACTGTTCCTCCTTCCTCTCCCAAACCCTCCTCCTCTCCCACAACACTCCTCCCTCCCAGGCACTGAGATGAACAGGGATCCTTGAAATAAAACCAGACCCCTTATCTGGTTGTGGGTCTGTGAAGTGTTCACACCTTTTGGTGTGTGTTAAAGAACAAAAAATTGTGTCTATCTTCTAATCTCATGTACAGAACAGCAGGGAGCTCTGCAGAATGTTTATCAGATCAGAAAGTAACTGGACCATAACAGAGTCCTGATCACGTGCACTGGGAGGCTGATTATGGCACACTAATGTGATGAGCAGGTTGAATCAGCTCACTGTTTCTGCTTTCCTGCTTATCTTTGAAGGCCAAAGAGGTGCTGATTGCAGCAACACAATTACCCCCCCCTTCTTCAGGTCCCCAATCACTGTGGTCACATCTCTTTCTGGACGTGCTCATTAGGGTTTGAGGCGTCAGCCGCAAACTCCTTATATAGGAGTTACTTCCTTCTCTTCTTAAAAACAACCATTCATCAAGCAGAAGCTGTGACCGCCACTGCATTGTTCTCCATTTGGACTCACAGTTACTTGTGTCCTGTTTACATGGCATTGTGTGAAATCTCCCAGATCGACAGTTATGATTGTCGCTGCTTGTGTTTCAGGCTCTAATTCCTAAGACCAAGGACCGTCCAAGAGGAATTCCAGACGTGGCTGGTTTTGAAACATTTCCTGTCAAGATGGATGGATGGATGGATGGATGGATGGATGGATGGATGGATGGATGGATGGATGGATGGATGGATGGATGGATGGATGTCATCTCAAGGCACTTTACAAAGATAATAGTCAGATTGGTTAAAAGTTCTGATAAGGGAAAGCAGTTCATTGTATCGAGTCACTGACTTGCAAGATACACTCCTGCTGGATGAGCTTTTGCTGATGATTTCCAATTGCATTTTGTTGTTGACTCTTCAGAAATCCCTTACACTGAGCATGCATTTAGCTGCAGGGTATTTAAAAAAAAAATCCCTTTTAACAGGAAGAAATCTCCAGCAGAATCAGGCTCAGTGTGAACGGCCATCTCCCGAGGCCAACTGAATCAAATTTGGCAGTAACAGTCTTGGCTTTAGTCATCTGAAAAGACCAGATAAAGGTGCTATGACAGGAAAAAGCAGAGAGAACATACATTTGTGAATGGAACCCAGTACTGCAGAATAGCAGAATAGAGCTAGAATGAGGCAAAATGGAAAAAAAATAAGTGGTCCCCATGTCCTTCAGGAGCTTAAACATACAGCAGCATACTAAATACAAAATAGTTTAGGAAAACGGAATATTTTGGATGGATGGAAAATAAAAAGATCAAATAGATGGAGAATTTAAAGATGAAGCAAGGCAGAATGAAAGACAGAATATGGACAGGAAAGAAGGAAAAACGAAAGGACAATATGAAGGGTGGAGAAAAAGGGTAAAAGTCATAAAATTTGTCCTAATAAAGATATAATAAAGGAAGAGGAGAGAACAAAAATGAAGAACATAATAAAACCTAGGGTTTTCTTCTTACTGACTTCAGGTATGTTGAATAAATAATGACAGAGCTTCACAAGTTCAGTTTAAGCAACTGGCCATGAAGTTTTCTAGAAGATGTTTCGCCCCAGCTCCAGCCAGATAATGTTTTTCCTCTAATTCTTTTGTTAAAACTACAGTATATTAATCTGAGTCCTGCGCACCATCAGTAAGAACAGAAGAAGCCTCTTGGATGAGATAGAAGATAGAAACATCTTCTAGAAAACTTCCCATCTACTTGCCTAAACTGAACTTTTCAATCCTGATCATGACCTGGATGACTAGGAATCAGATAATGACTGAGTTGAACATGTAGTTTTTATTTGCACATTAGAAATAAGATGGACATAATACTCATCCTGATCCTTTAAACTCAGGGTTTTATTTCATTTTTACCATAAACTCTACATTAATAAACGTTCTACATCTTGGTCGTATGCCCTATCTCTCAACCTGTTCTGTGTCTGTTTACACTCCAGGCTCTACTCAGCAATAGATAACAGGAACACTCACATGCGAACACGTACATCTGTTTTCACACAGAAGGGAAGGACGAAACAAAACAAATGAGCTTTCTAAGGATCAGAAAACAAGCACACTCAAGACACAAATCCTGGAAGACGGTCCGCACCCGTCCTCTAACATGCCGAACCTATTATTGTCCAGCAATGACGCCCTCCACCACGCTGAACCTGCTGACGGCAGAGTCTGCTGTTCTTCTGTAAACACACCTCTGCAGCTGAGGTAAAGGCCACACAGTATTTACATGTCTGAGAGGAACACCCTCCCTAATTACCATGTGTCATATCTCATGCCCGCTCACGCAGGAAGTTTAATCACAGCCAGACTCTTTAAGAACGCTGAAGAGGCTCTGTGGTTTGGAGAGTTTCTAAAAGTGTAGCCTGTCTGTTTCGGGCCCTGAGTCTAAGAAAGACAATATGTTGGTGCTAAGGCGAGTAGGAAGCTGCTCTGTAATCTGTGGAGAATCACCAGGATATTCCACCTTCAACAAAACCACCAAAACCACATTTAGTTGGATTATTATAGTTTGGTACATCTGTTTTTGTTTGGGTTTAATACTAGTGCTGGTATAGTATAATCATAAGTTCTGTCCATGCAATTTCTAAGCTAAATCAGCCATGCATGTAATGCTGAAACACAAGTTTAGATACACTGACAATTTCAACTAGAATTATAATTTTAATAAAGACATTAAGAAGAAATCCGCCTTATATTAACGGTAACGGCCCAAGTTATCTAAACATGGCGGGAAAGTTCACCAAATAAGTCCAGAAATGATGGTATGTTTATTCAAATGGATCAACAAAGTAAAATACATATTAAACATTCCTACTGACAAATATTAAACACATTCTAGAACATCCTGTTTTGTTAATCCCATACTGCTGACATCTGTGGGGAAACTGGACTTGTTCAGATGTGTCAGCCTTAATCCTTTACATGAAAACTGTCCTCAAGTCTTGAGGTTTCGGCTTTCTCTTCTACACCTATGATCCTTTGGACTTTCTAAAGATTTGAGCTGGATTAAAGCCAGGTGAGTGGCTAGGTCACTCTTGCAGTGTTTTAGATTTCTTTTTGGCTCTCTTTGACCAGTTATGAGATAACCTCATGGAAGATAACATTTCCAGGCAGCCTCTGTGAAATAACATTTCCCTTTAACGTTTGCAGAGGCTCAACAATTTAAAGGAGGAACTATAACAATAAAAAAAGCAGGGGCTGTTTCTCACTGTTTTCATGATTTTTATGGCAGTTTTTTTCAGATTTTATTAGCTTCATTAGAGTAATTTTAATTCAACAAGCTACTTTGACAGGAATTGGTACTATTGCCGTTTGTGATGAACATCCTGTTTCTGTACCAGCACAAGCTGATTTTTATAAACTAATTTCAATGAAATTTCAATACAGTCCGTCTATATTGGTCCTGCTACATCAGTGGTAGGTAGAATTTCCATTTAAAATAGAAAATTCAAGTACATTCATGGAGTACACCATCTAGTTTTCAAACAATTCTTGTTTTATAAATAAGAACACAACAGAAAGAAACAGGGACGTTCTACTATTATGTTACTACGGCTGTATAACATTAAAACGAGAAGGACAAAGGTTATATTTCTGAAATTCATGAGGTATTTTAAAGCATTTTTTTTCTCCCAATATGGAACTGTGGTTTAGGGCTGGACTCCTCTAGATTTTCTCTTAGAAACCCTTATAGACGGCATAATGATGTTAACATTGGGAATTTGCTGGCATATAGCCCTTCTGATGATCCTTTCTGGACCAAGCTTCAGACAGATGGCCTCATATTTACCTCTTGCTTTGGTATAATATAGAGCTGATGGTGTATTGAATGACAGAAAGGTACCGAGCTCCTGTGGCTTTAAATGAAGCCCATAACATCACTCCTCCACCACTGTGCTTGTATAATTGCACCTTTGAAAACCTGCTCAATATGATACAGGTCTACTTTATAGAGGAAGACATACCATAATCCACTAAACCTCCTTAAACTGTTTTTTTTTTCTGTCATGGACTTTAACATTTTGCCACCTGAGAAAAGAAATCTGTGTTTTTCCAAATCAAGGAGATTTTTTTTTACAAAAATAAAAACAGTTTTTCAGAGGAAACGATATAAGCTGCAAAGAGGATGACGGGAAACAACTGTGCCATGAGTAGCACCAATCGAGCAGGTTTCTTCGTAAAGTCAATAAACAAATAATGATCGCATTTACATAAATAAAAGAAAAACAGAAACATTGCCATGTGTCTCAATCCCTTAAAAAGGTAAAAATGAATTAAATGCAACAAACAGGACATGTTGAAGCTTCTCTAAAGGAAAGGTGCCTCTTCCTTAGAAATATGCGATGCCAACAGTAACAGAGCATCCTCCATGAAATCAGAGCAGCATTATCTCGTTAATTCAGAAAACATTTTATTCATTTGTTTGAAATCATGTACTTCATTCAGGAAAACACAGTGATTAATAAGGTAATTTATTAAAATTACCTCATTAATTAATTCAGAAAAACAAAAAATTTTTCTAGGTTAATTTAAAACGCTTTCTTAAACAACATCACTGCAGATGTTTTCCCATAACATCCAGACAAGAGTGAAGTACCAAAAACAAACTGATTTTATTTTGTTTGTAGATGATCTTTTCCAGAGTAAAGGTCTAAAGTTACCCCACATTTCCGCCTTTGACAAATTTCTAAGAGAAGGTTAACAAAACCAACAAACGGCACATAAATAAAAAAGGGAAAAAAAGCTTTTTTACTTCACAATTGTGACACAATGAACTTTTACAGCCAGACTGCAAACAGTGAGAGGTCAGAGGGAAACATCAGAACACAGTGAACACAATAGGCTCTTTTTCCTGCATTAATACCAGAAGGAGATAAAGACACTTGATTTGATCCGATAAAGCTGTACATCTAGTTCCCCTGCTGGGAGAGACGGAGGTCTTTTCTACAGGATCTTTAATCCTCCATCAGAAACAGAAGCAGATTCTTCTGTTATCGCAGCAATAAACCCTTTTAATCCGAATAAAAAAAAAAATAAAAAAAACAGATCACAAATTTCAAAATGCTAAAACTGTGTTTTTGTAAACAGCTGTTTGGAACAGTACGTCCCGGGAAGTGCATTTAATATTGTGCATGTGCTTTCCTAAATATGGCGACGAGGCGGAATGAATCAGTCCGTGTTCATCGGTGGTAACGGTAAAAAAAAAAAAAGGGCTGAGTCAGCAGAAATTAGCGGCGCTGACTTGGTGGTGCGGCCTGTCCCCCGCAGGCTCACAGTTTACTGGTCGCGCTTCCTTTCGTTTCTGACGCTACCGCGCCGTCACCATCCACAGGCCGAGCGCAACGTTGGCGGCGAGCAGGGCGCTGCCTGCTAACAGGAGGAAGAATCCGATCAGCTCGCGCTTCTGGCGGTCCGTTACCACGGTAACCAGCGTGGCCTCCAGCAGGGCGTTCAGCATCCACTGTCCATCCAGGGCGAAGCAGGGCACAGAGTTGACGACGGCTAGAGCGCCGGAGAGGGACACCACGTATCTGAGAGGTGGGACAGCTCAGGAAAAAACACGACTTTGAATCCTAAGAACGTCTCTGTAAAATGATGCAGGCTCAAATATCTCCATCCACCAAAAACATCAACAAGCTGCACCCCTCTTCCTGTTAATGTAACCTGCTGGGTGTTTCAGGCCTCCTGGTGGCGACCAATTATTCTCTCTTTAAATGAGCAGAGTGCCTCTTTAACTCCGCTGTTAATTAAAAATGTCTTAAATTAAGTGTATTTACCCTTAATTTGAGCGGGTAAAAAAGATGATTTGCAATTGGAATTAGTATTTTTACTCTTAAAGGAAGATACTTAGATAATATCTACTTGAACTTAAGACAATGCAATAGTTTTTCTTACTTTAAATGTAAATTGGTTTATTCAACTGGCAAAGTGTCTCACTTACCTCCTCAATTAAAAAAATGCACCTATCTTAAGAAAAAAAACTACTTATTTAGACTTCTGCAGTGTTTTTTGCAGTTTATTTATGTCCCATTTGTTTTATTTAGCACCGTTTTAGCAGAAAAAGCAGGTATAGGGAGGGTGTGGTTAGCAAAGGGACACATCTTTTAGACTAATACTGGTAATTCACGGCTTTTATTTATTCTTTATTGTCTTTTTCAGTATTTTCTATTGCTGGATACTTTTAACGTGTTTTTCTTCCTACCTCCACATTTATTTTGCATCAGTTTTCACCCATATACTCTGATGAGTATATAAAGATGCAACAACTTTCTGCTCGTTACACACTTAATGCTGCGGTGGACTGTGTCTCGAAAGCTGCTTAGCTTCGAAAAAATGTACGAAGAAAAGATCAAACTTCTCTTACTTCACTGAAACAGTATTACTGGGTAATGATACTACCATAAAAGCTGTTATATTGAGGGCGTCCTGCATCTGAAACCAAATGATTGGGATTATCAAGGTGGGCATCATGGCCTGTGGGGGATCTGAGATACAAAGAGGAGTTTGTGAAATGTTTTTCACAATAACTGATTCCTCAGATATATATAGGGGGAAAATTAAATACACCATAAAACAAACGACAGGCTCCCAAAGTGAACAACACACCCCCTAGGGGGGGCTGAGTGTAACTGCAGATAGGGCCTGGTAGAAATTGATTGAATAAATGAACTATTAAACAGAAATATAAACAGTTTAACTTTAAAAAACAGTTCTTCATAGGTTGTATTTTAGTGATTTTAATGAGACTTTATTTTATTGGTCAATTGTTGTTTTATCTAATGTAATATTAAATATGAAGTCAAATAAAACTTTTAATTGATAAAAATGTCTTTTGAAGGAAAATAAAAAGGGAACATAATTACTTATATGTATTTCTAGGCTGTCGCTAGTCTGAAGCAGCTGTTTTTGGGAATCAGAGGGTGAAATGTTTGGGAAGCGCTGGTCTACAGAGCTCATCTAAAGCAACAAACCTGAGCGGAAAGGAACGCATTTTAAATTCCATTAATGGAAGACAATTTTCAACCAACTTCTCTACAGAATGGAGTCACTTAACACTTAAATTCGGCACGTTTTATCTTTCTGCATTGTGCTTCTTTTGATCTGAAGCAACAAGACGTTCAGCCAAAAACACAACGTTCCAGTCAGCAGATCAGAAAAGCAGCAGATTAAAGGAATGTGACTAAATTGGTTTGAAAAGTGCTGACAGACGGAACGGAGGAACCTGAAGCCTTTCATGTGTCTGGAAAGTGCTCTTGATCTTTAAACTGCCATGAATTGATGCTTAAAAGGGAGCGCTTAAACCTCTTCAACACTTTTTAATAACTGTAAACAAAAAGGATACTTCAGGAAGGTCTCCAAGAAGACGGGCAGGTCTAAGTGGAGAAAGCCGAAGCGGGGCACAAAGTTGGTCAGACTCACTGGAAAAGACAAAACAGGAAGCAGAGAGGTCGTGATTTTTTTTCCTGCTCATTACAGCATTCAGCTTAACACCTACAGCAGCAGTCAGCAGTAATTACATGGAAAATACTGTCTCCAGACCGCTGTAGGAGTTGTAAAGGCTGCAAACTTCAGACAAGGTAAAATAAAATCTCAACATTAACCCCTGAAGCTTGTCGTTTGTATGAATTAGTGTTAAAGAAGGCAGAAAGGTTGTACCGGCGTACTGCAGGTGTGGCGGATAGCCCACGAAGAGCATGTGTGGGCTGGGAGGATGTGCGACTCTGATGAAGCGGGTCTGGTTCTCCAGAGAGGGGGTGACGCACACGCTAGCGGCCGACGAGTGAGCGGCACAGTCGCCATCGGAGCGACACGTCGCCGTGCCCGTCACCATCTTCCTCACCGGCATACAGGCGAACTGCAGGAAAACAAACAGAGTGATTCCCTGGATGCGCAATTGATTCTCAAGACTTTCTACAATCTTTAATCTCTCATTTTCTTTCCACTTTCCCTCCATGATCGGCTGTAGGGGACGATATTCCAGCAAGTGCTTGGTCAGAATTTCCTGAGCCACAGGTTACATCAGCTGAAAGCTGGTTTATTAAAACCTCCTTCCATTGGAGCAGAATTATTTTATGGTCCTAATCCAAGTTTCCATCCAAGTGGAGACCCAGGGGACAACATGAACAGAACAGAGAAGCACTCAAAGCCCTGAAACCTTTTCCCCACATTTTGTCTCCTTACAAACAGACTAATGTGTTTCACTGGGATAAAGAGCAATGCAGCATCTCATCGTGTCAAGGATGTTTGTATTATAAGCAACCTTTATTCCGGTACCTCTAAATAGAACTGCTTTCAGACGACACAAGGACAGTAAAAACTGTTCTTTTAAGGGTAATCTGACGTCTCCAGAAAAGGATGATGGAGATGTTCAATCAGACAGGAGGATGGAACGTTCTGGCTGTCATTTCTGCTGATGGATTAAGCTACATGGATGCTTTCTGACAGGAAAGATGCTCAGATTAGATGAAAGCATGTATGCAGCTAAATGCATCCTGGTGGTTTTCTTACACTTTACAAAAACAAAACCAGGAGAGCAACATTGTTAGAGCAGCTCCTATCTATCATTTAGTAACAGATGAATCTTTTGATGAATTCATTAATCTAAACAGATATGTTTAATAAATTAACCTTTCTAAATAGAAAAAACATTTGAAATACAGAGAAAAAAAAGGTTATAGTGTATTTTTAAAGAACTGCAAATGTTAAGTGTTTATATCTACTGCTGTAAGTAGTTTATTCATTCAGTAATTGGCATGTTTTAGGGTCTGTGGACCATTATTCTGGGTAATGATTACTGAATTAGCTGATGTTATTTTGAATAATTAATAAATCACCATTAATAGTTTCAGCTTTTAATATTACCAGAATAAATCTGTTAGAACAG